ATTATGGTGTTAGAAAGGAGGACTTTGAAGTGAAGAAAAATGATATTTGACTGCCCGGGAGCTAAAACTCGACTAAGTGGGACCTTGCACCCGGTCGGGTAAGAAGTGAAAACCGAAGATGCTCAGAAAATTGCCAGACCCGGTCAGGTCCTCTACCTCACCCGGTCGGGTCAGATGTGACCCGGGACAAAATGACGTGCTAAAACACAAGAACGTGGAGAAATATTTGATTTTGACCGGTACCCGGTCGGATACCCTGCCAAAGGTATTGAAAAACACCTATAAATAACACACTTTTCCTTCACTAATTTTGATTCCTTCTTCCATACTCTTAAGCTCAGTTTAGAATAGTATTTCTTTTATATTTTTATAGCATGTTTAGTTTCCAAATGAGGAGCTAAACTTCCATTTCTTGGTGTTGCTCTTGAAGCTTGTTGATTATTAAAGTTGTGAGTTATTTTCTTAATTTCTTCCCTTGAATATTAATTTTTCCCTTAATCTATTTCTATATTAATGTTGGGGAGTGTTGCTAAGATGACAATTAGTTAACATCTCGACATTAATTACAACTAGAAACGATCAACGAACTGATGGTTAATCATTGATGGTTTCACAAGTAACTTCGGTTTATTAATGCATGATCGTGGTTAATAAACTTAAGAGGGATTAATTGTGTTAGTTAAACCGAAACCGTTGTGTTGAGGTTATCAATCTCAATTGATTTCATCAAGGAGTTAAGAGATTAATGCTACTATCAAGTCGGTATATGTCGTTGTTCTATACTTGGCTAATAGTAAGGGTTATTAATGAACGGTCGTTGTTAATAACTACCCTCGATGAATTGGAGATACTACTCGATTGAGTATTCGAGAGGGGATAAGTTATAGATATAACAATGATCGACTAAATACATCAACAAGTGGAAAGTAACAAGACCAAGTTCTTTTTATCTTTGAATTAAATCACATATAAGTCGTTCATCTTGGTGTTTAATTAAATTAAATCACTCAATCCTAAACCCCCCCTTTTATTTACTAGTTTTATGAAAAGAGAGTTATTCCTTTTCCTGTGGATACGAACTCTACTACACTATACTGCGTATAAGTGTAAGTATCGGATTATTTTGACGCACTACGACAAAGTGCTCGTCAAATTTGGCGCCGTTTCCGGGGAAAGGTAATTAATTTTTCTTTTTATTTTATTTCATAAAAATCAAAAAAATAATAAAAAAAAATCACTCTTCTATTTTCTGAGCTTTCATGAGTATATGGATACCTGATACATATGTAATTTCTGTTTGTATGTTGGTGTAATATATAGTTATGTTTGTGAAATATTTGTAATTTGTTTAGATTAGGTCTATTCTGAGCTAAAACAGGTGCATGATCAATCAAATGATCCTTGATGAACCCAAAAGAGGAAAGGTGCAAGAGTACAAGACAAAAGAAGAAAGATCCTAATTTTGACCTGTACCCGGTCGGGTATACCCTTTACCCGATCGGGTACCAATTGGATTTTCAATCAGATCAGTTCAAGAAACAAAGGGACGTGCATGGAAAGATTTGGCCACGATCAATTGTCATACCCAATCGGGTACACCGACTACCCGATCGGGTATGCCTTTGGTTTTAACCCTGAAATCGATCGAGTATGGCTCGAGTATACAGTTCTGGAGATACCCGGTCGGGTACCCTATATGTACCCGATCGGGTACACGACCTGCAGCCCCAAAAGCCTATAAATACACTCTTTTTCCTTCACAATATTCACCAATTCCTATACACTCCTAAGCTCAGTCTAGATAAGTTCTTTCTTTATATTTTCGTTATGTTTAGTCTCCAAATGAGGAGCTAAACTCTTCCATCTTGGTTTTATTTGCCCCTTTGAAGCTTAATGAATTGTAAGTTGTAAGTTATTTTCTTCAATCTTCTTCCTTGGATATTAATTAATCTATCTCTATATTAATGTTGGGGAGTGTTGCTAAAACGACAATTAGTTAACATCTCAACATTAGTTATATTAACATATATTTTCTTGGGAAAAGTACGGAAAAAGTACTTGTGGTTAGGTCCGTTTTCAGATAGGGTCATGTGTTTCATTCTTTATCAAAGTGGTTCATGTGTTTGAATTCCGTTATCACAAGAGGGTCACTCCGTTAAAAACGTCTGAAAAAGACTGTTAAAAGTAACTCCGATTTTCAAAAGTCTCCGAAAAATTAAAAGAAAAATATCGGAAGGTGTTCTTCACAGTTCTTCTCCACTATGGGGGCAAGCTCGACAAGAAACGTATGTTCATCTTCATGTTTGATTTGACAACCTTGATCTTTCTCATCTCGTTAATCAGTTGTACGAATCTGTTATACGTTTCATGGAGCGCTTCACCGGGTGTAGCTTTAAATGCGTCATAGGCAGTCAGGATGTTTGCTTTCTTCGTCTTCAGACCAAGGTCAGTTCCAACCAGCAGCTTCTTCACTTCATCCCACATCTCTTTAGCTGTTTCTATTCACATCAATCAAGATGTATATATCATTTGGGATTGCTTGTAGCAGGAACGTTTTAGCCATTAGATCTGCCTTGATTCTTAGTCTATCTTCATCATTGTATTCAGACTTCGTCTTCAATCTTCTTGCCACAACAACAGGGGGATTGTTCCCATTATCTCCAGTCACATCCACCCAGATCTCCGTTGGTCCTTGAGTGAGTGATTCCAGCATAGCAGATGAATTTTCTTTGCTTTCAAGAAAATTTAAGAAGCGAGTCTTCCACATTTGGTACTCTCCTCTTCTTAAGATCGGGGGTTTGCTTTCGTTGCCTATTGCTAAAGCATCCATCTTTGTTGTTCGAGTGTTTTGAAAAGAAATCTAAAGTGCAAAATATCGAAAACCTAATTCAAGAAACAGTTTGAAAAGTAGTGTTCGAGAACCACTATCGAGAAGCAGTTTTCGATATCAAATATCGAAAACCTTGCTATCGAGAAGCTGGTTCGAGAAGCAGTATCGAGAACTCAGTGTCGAGAACCTAAGTTCGAGAACTTAGTTTCGAGAAATGAGTATCGAGAAGCTGTTTCGAGAACCTGCAAAGTCGAAAAAGCAAGATATTGAGAAACAGATATCGAATACTAAGTATCGAGAAGTGAAGCTCGAGAACTCAGTTCGAGAACTGATATCGAGAACGTAGTATCGAAATCTTGCAAATTAAAAATTCAGTTTTAAACAGTTTAATCAACTTTTCTGTAAAGTTCTCAATCTTGAGATTCTTCATGTTCTGTTTTCAGCTTGAAAAACCTGCTTAAATGTCGAGAACCATGATTTTCGACATCATACTATCGAGAAATCAAAAATATAAAGTTTGCTGAAATCGAAAAGTAAGATATACCCTTGGTTCGTTTTTGAAAGGCGAATCCAATGGTATAACTTTTACAATTTATCGATCAGAAACAAGATTACAGTGATTAAAACAAGGAAATATCGAAAAGTATGAAAAACAGAGTTCTTTGAAAAACTTCTTCGCGGATGATCACACTCGAGCAGGCTCTGATACCAGTTGTTGGTCATAGATTTCTGTAGACTAACACATAGCTAGATGGTATGCATCGAATAAACAGAGAAGATGAAGATCAGATAATGATATAGCAATATCGAGAACAGAGTTCTTCTATCTTTCTATTTATCGAGAAGTTTTTACAGCGTAAGGCTATGGAATAGAATTGTCGACTCTAGGCTCTGTACAGAACGCGCATATTTATAGGCACTATACAGTTTACCTAAAAGGGATACCTAGGAGTTTGGGCTTAAGACCTTCTTGGGCCTTATTCCCTTACAACCTATTTATTATATAATAATTAATGCCATAAATGGTATACCATACTAAACTTGAATCACAATTAAAATAGTCCTAACAATAGTCAAAACGCTAGCTAGCTCACAAAGACACAGTTTAAAGAAAAAATTTCAATAAATTTAACATGACTTTCCTATGAATATACAACTAACACCAGCGCATGCTAACTCTAGTAATCCCCTGTAACAACTACTGCCCGAATGCCCAATTCACTCCCCCGCACTTGAACTTTGGCATCGCCCTCGATGACCAAAAATGCACTATGCACGAGGGGGTAAAGGGAAAAGGGTCACGTGTGCTCAACTCAACTCAAGTAAAATATTACAAACAGGCGAGTATTAGAGTCATAGAAACTTCCCTAGTGGCGTTGGTCAGTGCAGAGTAAAACTGGGTCAATTTGTCATCCTCGACGCATCATCCAAAAAAACAAACTCTTAGTTGCAAAAACAAAGCAAACAAACACAAAAACACACAGAAAACACCCCGTTTTTTTCTTTTTTTTTTTTTCTTTTTTTTTCTTTTTTTTTCTTTTTTTTTTCTTTTTTTCGGGGGTTTTCTGAAAGCAAACAAACAAAAACAAAAAGTGCAAAAATAAGCTTGGGTTGCCTCCGAAGAAGCACTATTTTAGATGTCGTTTGCCCGACGCAACTACCCCTTTAGAAACTCAATTAAACCACTCCACTTAGAAAATTAGTTCTCCACATATCAAACATCCTATCAACAAATGCCTTGAGATGGCGTAAGACCTTAAAATCATGAACATAATTGCGCATCTCAGGGTCACAAGTAAACCAAAATAATGGATTTAGGCCTTTATCAGGCCCTTTATCAAAGAATATAATGCGTCAAAAACGGTATCTTCAAGTTGAGGTTTCCCTCCCTCCTCTCGCGGTGGCTCCGTGGCATCTAGATGTTGTTGTTGTAGTCCATTTTTGGGTCAACCTGGCCGTTCTGATCAGATTTTTAAGACAGAGTTCGTAAAACCATGTGCCTAACAAAGATTATTAGCGAGATATTACCTGAAATAGGAGTAAAAAAGTTTGCAAATTCCAAAATAGGACTACCATGTTTTTATTCCCAAAATAGGACTTATTATTGTCATGTTTTGGCAGTACCAGACTTCAAACATGACAATATTTTACAAATTTGGCAGTAATTAGTCCCATTTTTGGAATAAATACATGACAGTCTTATTTTAGAATTTTGAAACTTTTTTAGTCCTATTTCACGAACTTTCTCATTATTAGCACACACAAAAAACTACGGAGTAATTAAGGAAAATATTGGTCATGGAATGGAAGAATTGAATATGGAAAGCGTGGGCCTCGGATGGACGGTCCGGTACACCGCCATACCACGCTATGTTCAGCTCTTTCATGAGTTTCATCCTCCATTTCAGCCTCCAATAACGTATCCCTTTTTACCTTTTTATGTGTATAAATCAACAGGACCGATCGAAACAATTCCATATAACATCAATTCATCATAAAATATCTGCAGATTTTAATACCACAAAAAACTTGCCATTTATAAACCAGACCAATGGGATTTCTCAAAATGTCGTCTTTGGTGCAAAAAGTAATGGTAATAACCATGGCGTTGCTGGTGGTGGTGGAGCGCGGTGGCGGGCAGCCGCAGATGGTGGGGCAGTGCATCATCAACTGTGGGCAGAGAGCCATTACTTGCGCCATCCAGTGTAGCGCCGCCGCCGTGCTCGACTCCATGGGCTGCGTCACCGGTTGCGGCAGCGACAACATCAACTGTGTCTCCGGCTGCTTCTCCGGCGCCTCCATCATGAGCCCACCTTTCCCATTCACCCCACCCACCCCCATTACACCCCCACCCTCCCCACCCACGGCCACCCCGCCCCCTCCACCCACTCCTACCCCGCCCCCGCCCACACCCATCAGTCCCACCCCATCACCCACACCCAGTCCAGCGAACCCACCAACACCCACCCCGTCCGCCGCACCCACCGGAGTTTGATGCCGCATTTCATGCTGTCTACGAGTATCAATCATCATACATGCATTTAAGTAGGATTCATGTTCATTGTGCCATTTGTAGTTTCTTAAAAAGATGCATGCGGCATAGCCTAGCTAGCTAGCTTGCATCGCCCTGTGTTGTTTTTGTTTTTGTGGATGTGGAAGTGATGGGGGGTGAGGGGTAAATTAAACCTTTAATTTACATATGTTTGTACTTTGTAGTTATATTCATTTCAATCATTTGAGCATATCAAATACTCCGTTCGTAGTAGTTATTAATAGATCGAGTGATAATTGGTTATTATGCTATCGTATTTGGTATGGACTATATATGGATGCTTCATTTTGTATTGAGTTGGGTTTTTTTTAATTAAATTCAATCGACAAGCATGAAATATACTTCATTGTTTGAATAAGAGACCAATTTTGTGACGAATATATATAAGTAGAACTAAATTACTATCTGATCTGTTCCACTGACATTGAGATAAGAGGATGTGACACGGTTATTTACAAAAGTAAGTTTGTATCATAGAGGATGTGACACGGTTATTTAGAAAAGTAAGTTTGTATGATAGATATTGAATTGATAAAGTAGAAATAAAATAAAAGTGATTTAGAGTTACACAAACTTTACCAAAGTTGGTAGAAACAATCTTAGTGAGATTTTTCGAAAAGGTAAAATGGGACAATGAGGGGGAATAATTGACAAAATGTAAATTTCATATTCATATTTTAATTTGTTGATTGTATCGTCTATCTTTTTTAATTTTGTGTATATTTTAATTCTATACTACGTATTAAGCAATTTCTAATAATTTCCTAGCAGTTTGGATTTCTTTGTTGCGCTAATTATCCCTTCAATTCGATCTTCTATGGGGCTAAGTTCTTGTGTATTCATCCCGCGCCTTCACTAAGCCGCATTCTTTGTTGCACTAAATATATACACATGCCAGTCTAAAATATGATATAAACTCATGTTTAAAATAAGAGAACATAACTAAAACACACATTGTTTATTAAGAACAAAGTAAAAGTGAAAATCATTATGAGATAGAGGAACAAAGTCCTCTAATGTTTTCAATTCCGACCATCCATTCAGCTTGTCTTGCAGAGTCTATTTGATCCAGCTAGCAGCTCAGATTAATAGTACCACTTCAAAATTTAGTTTTAGCTAGACAATACTCTTGAATTCAATAATTGTACCTATTTCCAAATTCAATCTATTTTGATTATTAGCATGCATATATATAACCAGTGGCCAATCCAGAAAAACTCGTGCAGCAGGGGCGAACTTGGGTTATATCTCATCACACGCACATTGCAGACTCACCATATTAAAAAAAATATTGTAGTCAATTATAAATAAAAAAAATATTCACTAAGCAAAAACTTTTTGATATCATACATAAAAATTCATAATAAATAAATTTGACTTTGTTAGAAGTATATATATTTTAATCACAAGGCGTTTGTAATTTGTTCAAAATTATGTTACTAAAAAAGTGAATCAAATAAGGGAAGGATCAATATATACTTGGAATTAATTTAAGGATCAAATAAGGTATGAATCATATGTGAAACTAAAATTTTGATTATATTGATATAGTTTAATCTATCCATCAAGATAAAAGTTAATGTATTATGTAAAGCCATTTCTAATTTGTTCAAGGCTTCAAAAGGGGCAAAATAAAAATAAAACTGACAGTACGTAGCCTACAAGATTCGAACACCAGGCCAGACCTTAGAGAAGGCAAAAGCTATAGTTAGACGCATAACATTGACCGCTGCACCATTGGGTACTATACTCATTATTGACGTATACAATATATTATTTTTTCAGAAAGAAAAATGTATATACAATTAAATATGGGATATATATATATATATATATAGGGATTGAGTGGGGGCAGCTGCCCCTGCCCCCACGTTGGATACGCCCCTGCATATAACATGACATTGCTAACTGGGATCCATAATTCAAAATATAAAGAATGATGAACTAAATGGAGATGTATCACATAGAATCAAGACAAGGTGAATGGAATGACATAATGCATTAGGATTTTTATGTGATGATAGAGGAATGCAAACTAGACTGAAGGATGTGTTTTTATCTGACAAATATTAAGCCTGCGTTATATTACTGTATGACGTAGAGTGTAAGGAAGCGAAAAAATTAAAAGTCACATTCAAAATAGTAGTATGACTTAGATGTGCATATTTAGTTAGATGGGTGGGCATGCGATCAATATAGAAAAAACGTCATACATTGACTTTAAAAGTAGCATTCAGTAGTCGATTTAATGAAATAAATTAAGAACGATTACTTGTAACCCAATGTTAGTATTCTTGACTGTCACAATGAGAACCTCAGGTTCAGCTATTCTATCTAATTCATCCATTGGTCATCTAATGAAATCAATTAAGATTGAAAACCTCATCACAAGCAGTTTTCGGTTCAACCAATTTAATTACTCCATATGAGACGCATGTGTTACTAATCTAAGGATACTCTTATGAAAGGAACAAGTGAATAACAAGCATATAGTTAAAAAAAAATCAACTATTCCAGTAATATAATCAATATGATAACATCAACTAAATACTAATCACTTAGTGATGCTCAAATATTAATACGGAGTATAAAATATGAATAGGGAAGTAACTAATACTCCATGCATCCGTCCCGAAATGAAGTTTCGGGTTTGACTTACACACATACTTATATATGTAAGATTGAGTTTTATTTTGACTTTCCAAGTATATCCTTACTTTATGTCAAATCAAGCAAAAAGCGGGTAAAAGATAAGGGTGGTGATTTTTTTGTTAAAAGCGGTCTCCTTTTATGGAAATGGAAACTTCTTATAATTTTGGGACATCCATATAATGAAAGTGAGAATTTCTTTTCAGGGCGGAGGTAGTATTTAAGAGAGGAGGATTAAAGAAATAATTCACAACTTACAAATCACGAGACTACCTAAATTACAAAAATAAAGTCTATATGAAAGAAGGGGTTGGTGGGTCTCTAAAATAGGAAGGAAAGATGTGTTAATTTCTATAGGAGATATGAAATAGGTTGGGTTAGATATCCGATCGGGTATCCTTGGTAGTAGCTACACATGTGCTAAAATCTAGCCATACCCAACCGGGTATGACCGGGTCAAGTATTGGATATACCCGACTGAGTGTGTGACCAAATTGGACTTTTCACAATTATTCTTTCTCCCATGAAGCTTCCATTTATCTCCAAGCTCCTTCTTGATGCTCCCAAGTGATTTCCTCTTGCTCTGATCTCAAGTGATTTCCTCTTGCTTTTCAATTGTATTTCTTGATTAAATGTCAATTTTCTTAACATCTTTTAATTAATTTTGTCTTATTTTTGAAGATAAAGATTACATAATAATTCTACAAAAGATAAATAAACACAATGTAAAACCATTCTAAATTGCGATTTTATAATTTTATGCACTACTAAATAGCACATATCAGTCCCAGATCAGACAGTTACGAGACCAGATCAACCTAGCTTAAACACACTAAAACAAGACAAACTAGATAATAAAATTTGAATTCAAATACTCCCTCCGTAACATTTATATCTTCTCACTTTCCTTTTTTTGATGTAACATTCATATCTTCTCATTTCATAATCTTCCAATCATATCCTCAATAATTTTAAAAATAATACACTATTACACCTACTTTTTTTGGATTTATCCTTTATTCCAACACATTATTTCACTATCTTCCCATCATACCCTCAATAATTTATATCCCCTTTCACTATTCTTAATCTACCTACTTTTCAAATGGGAACATATATATGTTACGGAGGAGTATGTATCAACTAAGAGAAGATTTCGATATTTGTTATAAAGGCAATAATTGAAAACCGAAAGCACGAATAGGAGTAGCGTGAGCTTGGTGGGATGCTAGACCATACCACGCTATGCATCAATGCATGCATACACAAATGACGCTACAGCTAATCGTAATTAATACTCTCAATCATTATTAACTAAAAACCAAACAGAAAGCTTACCACTTTTAGCCTTCATTTGAGCCTGCAATTATGCATCTTTTTCACCTTTTGTATGCCATAAGTAAATTTGCCCGGTCTGCATTTAAACATCTCCATCGGTCTGGTTATTCTCAGCTCCATCTAATCTTTACAAATGTCTGCAATGGAAAAATTAACAGTAATAATAATAACGATACTGGTGGTGGCGGTGGGTCGAAGCGGAGGGCAGCCGCAGATGGTGGGGCAGTGCATCATCAACTGTAGCCAGAAAGCCATAACTTGCGCGATCCAGTGTGGTTCCGCCGCCGTGCTCGACTCCTTTGGCTGTGTCACCGGTTGCGGTAGTGACAACATCAGCTGTGTCACCGCTTGCCTTGGCGGTGCTCTGACCCCACCCGCCGGAGTTTGATATGATGTTGGGTCGGAGATTTGGAGCTTAGCTTTATTGCATATACATGCATTTCATTCAATCCTTACTATCATGGATATCATCATCATGCATGCATGCATATATAGGTGTGTGTTTCTTATTATTGAATAAAATTATGTTTCTAATTATTGTACGTTTGGTAAACAAATGCGGCATGGAATCACAAAATTTTAAGGGATGGAGGGAGTATTAATTAGCTAATATCGATTGTTAAATGAAGAAAATTAGCATCACAAATACTCTAAAATGTTCATTAGCAATCAGCAATAACACTCAAAATTCTACCTGAAAATCCTACATGTCTCTAACAGAAAATCGGCAAATGAAATTTTGTAATTTCAAACTACATGACCACTGCAATCGTACGTATTTAGCGACAGGAAAACTTAATAAAAAAAAAAAGGACTGAGGAATTATTGGGCACAATACAGTACATACATACTTAAGACACGTTTACTTCACAGGTTATAGGTTACTAAGTGGTGCTTAATAAGACTTGAGTTAATAAGCGCGCGGTGGGGCGTAAAATAAACAGTGTTATAAGTCATATTTACTTCACGAATTTAATTAAAACAACGTTTAACATTAAAATGTCTACAATAAACCCATCCTTAACCCCTCCTCTACCCCTAACCCTTACCACGACCATGTAAGGTGTTAGAGACAGTTTCTTAATTTATTCTTGGAAACACGTTTCTTAATTTATATTTGGAAACACATCCTAATTTAATTAGGGGTTATGTTGCTTTGGGAACAAGACACTGCATCTCTATAAATACCACTCTCCTCTCTTGTAATCTGCATCCAGAAAATATTAATAACATTCCTGGCTTGGTAGCGCCCCCAGGCGTAGTCCTC